TACTTTGAATATGACACTTGAATACCGTATTTTTATTTTTCATCAATCTTATTTATTATTTAATTTTTTTTAAAAAAAATTCAATTTCGCATCTACTCTAATATGGTCAATTTTTCTTCTAAGTAAAAAGTTTTACTAATATAGGATGTAATATTGTACACTTTAATCAGAAATAAGCAAGCGTGTAAAATTTTTGCAAAGTTTTTTTTAATCTAAAATTACAAACTCGATTCCAAAATACAAGCGTGATTCTGACGGACGATATCAATTAAGAAGAGTAAGCATGAAATGTTTATTATTTAATGAAAATTCATATATTATTGAGTACAAAGGTAACTGCTAATCTCCAAATTAATTACTTACAAATTTCAGATTATTTTTATCATTTTTTTTTTTTTATAAAAATTGCGAATTTCTTTAAGAATTTTAAGAATAATTCCTATACGATTGACAGACACTTAATAAGAAAATAAAAATAAATTTTTCTAATATATAAATGAGCTAAAAAAAAATGTTAATAAAACTGTCCTTTTATAATTATCCTTTTTTAATTATATAACATCAACTACTCACTTTTCCTTTTCATTTTTTTAATTAAATAATTTTTGATAATGTTAATTTTTTTTCTCACAAATGCCATATATTTCTGAATTTATTTTTTTTTTTTCTTTAAATATGGCACATAAGTTTTGCTTTTTGTTTATGGCATGGTTGGTATAAAGAAGTATGTCATTACTTTATTTTTAAACTTTGAACAATCCTTAAAAAAACGAAATATTTTTCTTTTCCATCCAATTTTAAATTAAATTTATGAACATAAAGTCAAAATAAATTTACGCAGTGTAAAAGGTAAAGTATAATAATAATGACAGAAATATGTGTACAAAGTAATCAAATCCATAATATTAAAATTTTAATATGTTTTCATATTATGTGTTCACAATTAACAGTAGGTAATAAACTGTATGTTATAATAAGTAAGTATATAGAAATTCTCTTTAATTATTCATTAAGTTGTGTAGGTTGTGTTTCTTCTACACAAATTCACGCATATTATACAGACATACATACATATATTATATTCGTTAGCAATATTTTTCCCATTATTTATATAATATACATGTGTATATCATTTAAAGGCATAAACTTAAATTCAACATATTGTATGTATGAAAATAAGTTTTAAATATAGCTATTCAACACTTTAATAAATAAATAAATAAATAAATAGGTATATGCATACATCTAACGTATATTTATAATCAAAAAAAGCAAAATGAAAAATGAAAACTTATAAATGAGAATTTTAACCTTTTCGTTCAACTATATATTAAAAAAACTGTAAAACATTGGAAAAAAATATTTTTTGTGTTAGGCAGAAAAGCTTTTCAATTCTCAAAACGGTAAATTAAATAAGTTTTTGTTTTTTTTTTTCTTTTTTGTATTGCTTTCTTGTTTTTGTACCTTAATACAAAAATGAATCTAAGGATGCCTACCTAATCGTATGTACATATACTATGCAAAATAAAAACCAAAACAAAAGCATAAACACAAGAAAAGAGAAAAATGAAAAAAAGAAAAATTTTTTAATTTACAAATCCTTTGAGTACGTATTATTTCTGGTTTGATTTTACCTTGTGTTCAACTCACTGATTTAATACGGTCAGCATAAAGAGTTAACAACATAAAGAATTTTTTATAATAAAAAGATTGAATATGTATCATATAATATATAGGTAGGTATATAGCGTGTATGTATAAGCAGAATGCAAAGATTAATAGGATTAATACAATTTAAATTGAAATTTAATTTTTACACTATATAAACAATGCTAAATTGACTCCATTCTGGCTATATTTTTCATTATTGATTTTTTAAATATTGATTAAAATAATTTTATGGTTTAAAGATTTTTCTGACTTTAACGTTATAGTTTTATATATGCGTGTACATATAAAAAAAATTTAGGATATTGGTATGTTCTTTATAATTTCAGTGTAAAAAATTAAGACCTAACTATGAACACTAAGAAATTTAAAAAGAGAGGATGAGGTTTCGAATTATTTCTATTATTAAATAATTTATTAAATAATTTAAATTTATGATAAATAATTTTAATAAATATGAGAAGTAAATTTATTATAAATTGCAAATTTTTGAAATTCAAATTTTATTGCAATAAAAATAATATTTATAAAATTATTAAAAATACATCTTAAAAGAAATTTCAGATGTTAAGCTTATATTTAAATAGATTATTGTGATAATCAAGACTATATGTCGGCATTTGACAAAAACTTTTTTATAATTTATTTAACGAAATTGATTCATGGCATAATAAGGTACTAATTAATAAAAATTATTTAGTTGCGTGTTGAGAGTGATTTTAAAATATTTTATTTCTAATATAATTATGTATGTGGTACTTTTGTGTGCATGTGTACATATTTGGAAACATTAAAAGCAAAAATCATAGTATATAGATCTATAACATTATATATAAATATTTACAGGCTTATGCATATTAAATATGTATGCTATGTTATTTCCAACCGCCAACAATATAATATTGAGTTTTTGTCGTGCAAACTGCTTTTCATGTTCCTTGTTTTTCCTATTTTTTACTTTTTTTTTAATTTTATTTAAAAATCGTTTGGTTTTTTGCTGAAATTTTATTTTCTATTTTTCTGTATTTGAGTTTCGTTGACGCCATTGAGTCGCGATTTAATTTTTTTTGTTTTTAATTTCTTTCTTTTCGCTATACTTTTATAAAATGAAATTTAAATAACAAAATATGTACATACATAAAAAGAAAGAAAATGAAAAAGGATAATAAATGTTTATTTGTATTTAAAAAAGAAAACAGTTTTTATTTTTTACTGTTCCTACTTTGTTCACTATAACGTTCCGAGGAAAAATTATTTACAAAATTTTTCCTATATAATTTCGATACAAAAATTATTTTTAATTTTCGTGGAGTTTAACTATACATTCTGTGTACTTTGCACATGGAATATTCTACTAAAAATTTATTATGTATAGGAAAAGAACTTTATTATTCCTTTTTTTTTCAATTTTAGAAACAATTTTTGTACCTATATATGGTCTGCTTTTATACATGTGTTCTTTTACATAATAATGCTATGTATTATAGAAAGTTATACATAAATGTACATTTTTTTGTTATCAAGGACATCAAGTTAGCTTTTAAAGTACATAATATATATTATATATATTTTATATATATATATATATATATGTATATATATATATATATATATATATATATGTGTGTAATAAAAATAAAAAATAAGATAAAAAAAAACATTATCTTTTTAGAGTTTTCAAAAATGGGGTAGTACAAAATCCGAAAAAAGCATTTTTTAATATGAGGAACAAAAATAAGGTTAGCAGGTTATCAGTCTGTTAGGATCATGTTGTAGGAAATTTTTATATTTTTTTGGTTTTTAGTATTTTTTGTGTTTTTCTTTTCTTTGTATAATGCTGTTTATAGTCTTTTCCTATATAATATAATGAATAAACGGAAGGGTGACGTCAAGAAAAAATAAGTTTTCATGGTAAAATTTATCATAAAAAATTTTTATGATCTTGTAAAGTTACGAAAACAATTACTTATTTATGATTCTGAAAGAGAATTTTAATTTAATGTTCTTCTTTCTTGGTAACTTACATTTGTATTATGGCTTAAATTTAATTTAAATAATTATATTATTGTATATAAATTTTGGTTTAAAGATTGCAAATAAATTTAAAAAGACATAAGGGATTTTCCTTTTTTTTTTAGAAAATTTTGGAATTAAATTCAAAGTTGTTTTGCAATAGAAATAACGCCAATATATTCACGTTGAATTGAAGGAATAATAATTATTATCGAATTTTATTGAAATTGTATAGTTTCAAGTAAAAAATCAAATGATAATGAAAATAAATTCTGTTTTAAGAAGCCCTAATATATGCAATTTTAAATAATTTACAAAATTGTTAAACAGTTTTCAAAATTTGCCTTTAATAATTTTATTTACTTTTCCCATGGAAATTCCATTTTTCATTCACTCAACTTAATTCCTATTTCCATATTTTTACTTTTTAAATATAAATGACATAATTTTGAATGGTATTTGTAGTTAATTTAACTAATTAAACTTTAAAAATAAATTTTTTTCTTTTTTATTCTTCAACAACTTATGATATCACTCGTATGTTCCATTAATTTAAAGTAGTATTTGAAAATTAAATTAATTACCAAAATTATTTATGAAAATTTCATGAGCATATATCTACAATATATTTCAGCATAGATAACACGTATTTATAATATTAAAATTTCAGAATTTTCAAAAACGGAATTAAAATCACTACCTATGTATGTATAAATATAAATATTGCTAACATGTATATGTATGTAAATATATACTTTATACATACCTATATGTGCATAAATCCAGAAAAAAAAGGATTCAAATATTTTTATAAGAAAAGGTTATATTGTATAAATTTGTTTATTTTTGTAAAATCTCTAGTGGTTTTTAAATATTTCTTTAAATATTTTCTCTTCTTAATCATTCTTTAAAAGATTTATATACGCTTTTATTAAAAATATTTGGAAAAAGAAAAAAAAACAATATATAGGGAGTGCTTAAAAAATATGAGTCATACATTAGGAGCTTTCAAATTATAATCAATCAACATTATTACAGAAAAGATAAAACAAGTTTAAAATATGTAGGTAAGTGTAGGAAAAAGTGAAAAATATTCGAAATATTCTGTTGCTCTTTATACTTATACACACAACAGAATATATAAGTATATATAGTTTAAGTAAATACAAAAACAAAAAAAAAACTATGTGTCTAACCTAGGACAATATGAATTCAATTACCTACTTATATACATAAATAAAATATAAATTTCTTATAGAAAGTTTAAGAATAAAATTCTTTTCTTTTTGATACAAATAAAAAAAAAAAATACAACATACCTGCATGCCAATGGAATAAAGGGTAATGATTGTCTAAATGTTGGTCGTAAATTTTGATTACGTTTTTCCGGATAAACATGATTAAATTTTACTTTAAATCCATATTTTGGAACCGCAATAATTTCCTTTCGCAAGTCAAAGTTACCACTGTCGTTATCCATTTTTTTCTTTTAATATTTTGTTTTCAATTGATTGAATTAATTTTAAATATATTTTATTGTAAAATTTAATTAAAACTACAATAAAATTTAATAATTTCACTTTACTTTAAAATTTTTTCTTTTCTTTTTTTTTTTTAAAAAACAAATTTTTCCGACCGAAATATTAACCATAAACCAACCATTAGCAACGAATTTTCAACTCCAACTGACAGATGACAACATAATATGATTCTCAGTCAAGGCGTATGTAAAGAGAATTTTTTAATAAAAATCGAGAGTAAAAGAAGACACAAAAGAACTCAAAAAGAACTTGTAAAAATATTAATGAATAATGATTTTGAAAGAAAATGTACATATTTTGTATTTCCCATTTTGAGAGAACATTCTTGTGGGAATTAAAAACAGCTGTTATTGGATAAAACGGAAGTTTGGAACATAAAGTGTGATAAAACATAAAGCTTGCGCAAATTTTTATTTAGCGGTATTTGGTGTTGGTTTAAGTTCTTATTTTAAAGTTGTGGTTTGTGTCTTTGATTGTTATAATTATTATTTATGAAAATTGTCATTAATTTTTATATTACGGCTTTTTTTCGATAGATTATGTTCTAAAAAAATTCAAGAATAAAGGTAATATTCGAAGGGACTATTTTAGAACATAAATATTAATTTACCGTTATAATATTCAAAACAGTTTTGATGTAAAAGAATAAAAAAAGAAATAAATGAAGAAATTTAAACAAACTCAAAAATTTCTATTTAATACCATGGCAATGTTAATATTTTTACTTCATAATAATTACTTCGAATGAGATCGTTAAGATGGCTTTGTAATATAAAGAATAATTTTGAAACTGTTATGAAATTTTGAAAGTTGAAAAAGCAGCAATTAAAACACAAGCATAATTCTTTATGCGACTAATTAAACGAATACAGAAGACACTAAGTTCGTATAAGCAATCATTTATTAATTTCGTATTTTTTAATATTTTGTTGGACGGTCGGCTTTTCAAGGTTAAAAATGTTTGATTGACAGTTACTGATAATGGCATAAGATTATTATAGTTTCTATATAATTAAAGAAATATTTAAAACAAAGCGCAATCGATTCTATGCAAAAATGTTCATAATTCAATGCTGTAATGTATCAGAAAGCTTCAAAGTCAATTTTATGCGAAAGAGTTTATCAAGCTTAAATTTTTTTTATTATATTTTAGCAATGTGTTGAGTATAAAATATTTGATAAGAAAATGATCGTAACAAACTGATTACTTTTGACATAATTAACATAAGATTCTCAAAATATTTCAATAAAATCAACTTACATATTTATTGAAAATTGGATTTAAACATGATAATAACATAAATAACTAAATATTCTGACAAGATAAACATGAGAAGAATATGGATATGAATAAAAGATAAACATAAGAAGAATATGGATATGAAAAATATAAGTTTGGAATCATTTAAAGCAATATTAAAATTCTTGATGCTAAAGCAAGGGGTAACAAAAGCCTTAAGATATTGCAATTTAAGAGAACAAGAAATAAAAGAACAAAAATTCGGTGAAGCCGTGAAGTTTTGTAATGATTGAAAGTTATAAAATGAAAAATTATAAAAAAAAGAAGAACAAAAAAGAGCCAAATGAAAGAAGAAATTCAATAAAACAAATGAAAATGCGATTTTATAAGTTAAGTTGATTAGTAGTAAAATTTAATTAAATTATATTCATTGAAAGAGAGTTTGGTGTTGAATTACTTTTCATTTATTGTATTTTCTGTAGTATTAACTTAATATTAATATATTAATAAATTAAAAACAAAACAACCCAAAGAAAAGGTATACAACTACTGCACGATGAGTTAATAGTATGATGAAGAATATAATTGAACAAAATCCATCCTTAAGCATTCTCTTATTTATATGTGTATAAAAAACGCATCCAAACTTCCCCACAAGGCCACAACAATTTGATAAATGAAAACTATATCAGAAACTAAAATACGACAACCAATCGACGTCCAAAATCTGAAGCCTACTTTCATAAAGGACAATGTAAACGAATCTGAGCAATTCATACCACGAAGAGCGAAACGAAGTAAACGCTTTTGCACAGTATCAATACGATTTGCACATATGAAATTCACGAAAAGGAGACCAGATCTGACATGCTTACTCTAAACCGGGGCACACTAAAGCAATATAAATACATCATAGACCAAAACCAGATTTAAATCCTATTAACCATCAAATTAAAATGGGATTTAAATTAAAATTTAAAATAGCGCAACAAGTTATCATTTGATTAATTGCAAAAATTTTAAATATTATAAAATTTTTATAGTCAACAAGTACATACTTGACCGTTAATAACATTTAGAATTTATCGTAGTAAAATGATTAAATTATCGCATTAGCGTCTGGGTAGATGAAATGTTTTCCCATCTTTCTAATCTAGACATGCATGTGCTTCATACCAGTATAGGAAGTGCGTTACAAGCTCGAATTTTTTCTATGATTATTTAATAATTCAAGGAAATGTATATATATTTTTTTAAAGAAGAACAGGTGTTAATCAGGATTTGGTTTGAAAATATGCATAACTTGCTTTAGCATTTAATGTCCCAGCGTAACTCAATCTTATATGACAGAGGTTTTTAATTTACGGTACTAGTTGTCTACCATTATATGAAATCCCTTTCTGTTTCTTCACCACATTTTTTTTAACCTGTATCATAGACTCATGTGGCGCTTTCTAGTTAAATTGCTTTTTTATATATTTTTTTTAAGGTCTTTAAATACTTACACTTAAAATAAAAACTGAGGAAATAAATTAAATTTTTAAAGGGAGTTTATTTCACTTTTGTGTGAGATAGTTGTTATCGGATACCAAGTAAAAAATGAACAATAACGGTTGTCTTTAATAAATAATTTTAAAAGGTATACGACAAGAGCAATATCAACATTAACAACAACAATTAACAAGAGAATCTAGGAAACCAAATAATGACTGTCAATTTCGGATCTATTCAATACTTCAAAGCATAATAGGTTTTTTAAGGATATTACATTCGACAAACCTGATGTTATACCTTAATTTAAAAGAAAAAAACTAAAAACAAAAATTAATGGAAATAATGCTCATCGTTTTTTGAGATATTCCCATGATACCTTTTATCATTTAAATGTGTAGGAAACAAAGCCCGCATTCAACAATAAATTAAGGATTTGTTCAGGATAACAAAAAAGATTTTTTTTTGAAAATAAGAGAACAAAACAAAAATTCTTTAGTTTAGTTGTTAAAACCTGTTATGCCGCTTTTAGTTCTTCTTAAAATAATTTTCACATCTTTCTCGATTCAGAGATATTTTAAAGCATACTTTAAATTAATATAAAATATTTAAGTAGATGGGATACTTCTATTCTTCTTTTATTTTGTTAATAACATAGAATTTAATATTAGATATTCGAAAATATTGAAAGAAAATTAGGTACAATTTTTATAATTTTAAAAGAAGGTTATTATTGTGGATTGAGATCAACTAAACTGTAAATCGCGTTATTAAAATTGTAGAATATTTTGATTTTTCAAGTTCTTGTTGTATGTAAAAATGTTTAAAAAAAGTTTATTTTTCTATATGATGGAAAATACGAAGTTTTGAACCTAAAATTAAGTTGGAAACTAAGTTTGTAAGTTGAGTTTCCATTAACCCGACACATGAAATCACAATAAAAAATGTTAATTTTAAATGGTCTTTTGCTGTTGATCCCTTTATATGGTTTAGATTTTCAAAATTTATACAACATTTATTTTAACCATAGTAAAATTGAACATAGGACAGCTTACTAACATATGTACTTGTATACTTACATATATTCAGTTTAATAAGTAGTTTCTAATTTGAATGCATTCTATGACACGAACATTAAAAATTAATCGCTTGTTCTACCAAATCGGTTAATGAAATTTTCTCTCATTTTGAGATCTTTAAATGACGTAACAATACTAAGTCTTCTTCATCTGAATAAAATCTATTCCACCATAACATCGATTTCTCTTTTCGCGGTTCTACGAATATAAAAATAATATAAGTGCAATTTTTCAAATAAATAAAGTTGAGTCAAACCAATGATTTGTAATGCAGCACTTTTTCCTTCAACAAGTGAAAATACTGCTTTTAAAAACAATCCGTGTTTATATTTTATTACTAAAATTACTTTCATTCATATACACAAACATTGAGAGAGGGTGGAGGTGGAAATAAATTTTCTTCCAGCTAATTGAACTTATTTTCTAGAATAAATGCCGCTAAAATTTTAAACTCCTACAATCTAAGTTGTAGAAGATAAACGACATCAAACATTTGAAAAAAACGAATTTAAGATAATGGTAAATTTTAACGGCCATTTTGTTTACAGTTTGTTTTGTTTACAGTTTACAGTTATCTGACCATTGGTGCAGTGGTTATGTCCTTTAACCGAAGGGTTTCGGGTTCAAACCCCGAACTATAAAAATTATATTCAATATTATTATAGCTTAATATACAATACTAATAAATATTATACAAGTAATTTTCAAATATTCGTAATATTCCATATTAAAAAAAACTAAGAAAAATAAACAGTAAATATTAATAACCCCAAATAATAAATATAAATAAAACTACGGCAGGTTAGTCATCTACCTAGTTAAACTCTATGACGCTATGAAACTAGTGCATGAGAAATCATGCACTAGCCCTATGCTCCTTCTAGGACTGAATAAGGAAAAAAAAATTTTGTTTACAGTTAATGGTAAATATGGTACGGCGTGGTAGAAGAAGCGTTTGCAAAATTTCAAAAATGTTTATGGTGTCACTGCAATAAATAGTTACAATATGGCATTTTTAGGGTTTTGGGGCGCTATAACTTTTATATGGAGAGGAGGTAGGTAAAAATTTTCATCTACGGAAATGATTTTCTCGTAGATGTATTTACGTATGAAATTTCAGCTTTCTATCTTCAAAGGTGTAAAAGTTTTAAAAACATGTCCACGGACCGTCGGAAGGACAGAATAAAACTAATAAGCACCTTTTTCAAAAATTTTTCTGAAAAGTGTTAATATTGTATACTTTAAGTTATATAGGAAAACAAGGATCTATATATACATTTAAATTGTTTGTATTATTAAAATACTTGAAGGCATCACAAAA